TTGGTGTGTCTGGTCGTCTGGTTAGTTAGGGAGAAGAGAGGTAAAGAGATGATAGGGCGATGCAGGTTCAGAGAGAAAAGTGTGGTGGGAAGGCTGGCAGGAGTGGTGATGGTGCAAGGTGGAGGTTGGGGACACTGGGAAGAGACTTGGACAGAGCAGAGTGTTGAGGCCACATGGAGGAGCTGTCCCAGGGCCTTTTTCATGGCTCTGAAGACCTTGACTCGGCTCCGAAGGCCCATCTTGAAGAGCACCGTCTTAAATTGGGTTCTCTATTTAGATTGCCATATGTGAAGATTTACTTTCTCAGTCTCATTCAGGCATATCTGTGTGGGATTACTTGTTCTTCTTTGTAAGTCATTCCTCTCTAGAGAAACAAACCAAAAAAGGTGGCTGCTTGTAGTGGGTGAGTGCTGGGAGCAGTGTCTTTGACCCTGCCAGGCCTCCCGAGCTGCCTAGGCCTGCTGGGCCTGTCCCTGGGAGGAGGATGGCCTCCCTGTCGGCTGCATGTTTCTCAGAACAGGGCTGCCTTTGTCTGAGCCGAAACCCAGCTCCTGCCCCAGTGTGCTTCCTGCAAGCCGCCTCCTGGCTGTCGTTTGCCCTCCCCCTTGTTCTTCAGTCACACAGGTTGTCTCCTACTGTGTTGTCATACATGGTTGCCTGACTTCCCAGCTGACATTGTGTGGGGTCCCGTTTTGCTAAATTGGCAAGATCTGGATTAATTTTCTCCACCCTCCGTTTTTGCCTGTTGCTTCTTTTGTACTGTATCTTCTTTTCTTGCTTGTTATTTATTTTTTTTAAGATTTTATTTTTTTTCCTTTTTCTCCCCAAAGTCCCCCAGTACGTAGTTGTATATTCTTCGTTGTGGGTCCTTCTAGTTGTGGCATGTGGGATGCCGCCTCAGCATGGCTTGATGAGCAGTGCCATGTCCGTGCCCAGGATTCGAACCAACGAAACACTGGGCCGCCTGCAGCGGAGCGCGCGAACTTAACCACTCGGCCACAGGGCCAGCCCCACTTGCATGTTATTTTTGATCCTCTTGTCTCCAGGACCGTTTATTTTCCTCTTCAAGTCAGTTGTTTTCAGTTTCATTTTCCATTAAAGTCTATTTTTTCCCCCAACTATAAGCTCTTTAAGGGCAGGAAACAATTTTGGCTCAGTATCCTGAGCTTAGTAAATATTTTAGCATTGTGGAGGGAGGAAGGTAAATGTTACTCTTATATTTTCTTTCCAGCCTGACAAACGGCTGCCTTTAAAAATTAAAATTATAGACTATTCATGTATATACTAGCTAAAAAATAACTGGGTTTTTAATTCATATTATTTTTAATAAGATTTGTTCTAGCAACCCATTTCTGTTCTAGTTTTTGCTTTTCGTCTTAGTTACTGGGACTATTTCTAAAATACTTTGTTTTCAGCCCTCCAGCCTTTTCTGCTCCCTGTGCTGGTCAGAATCCAGCGTCTCACCCGCCCCCTGACGATGCTGAGCAGCAGGCCGCACTCCTGCTAGCCTGCTCTGGGGACACGCTGCCTGCATCTTTGCCTCCAGTGAACATGTACGACCTTTTTGAAGCTTTGCAGGTAACTCTTGGCTCCTCGAAGTTTACCTAGATTTATGGATCGGTTCAAAGTGTCTTCAGTTCTGCAGACATACTCAGTAGCTTTCCCACTTCCTGTTTTTTTTTTTTTTTTCAGTTTTATTGTTTGTTATTAAAACCGTTAATACTAGCCTCATTTTTCAAATCCTGGGCGCAGGAATCCTTCCTAATTTACCTCCCCCATCCCCCACCTCCCCAATGAAAGAAAGAAAAGGAAAAATCCCCTTGTTCCCTTATTCCTATTTCAGAACCTTATTATTTCCTTGTCTTCTTGTTATCTGGTTTGGGATCCATTAGGTTCTGGCTTAAAGTTTATAGGTTTGTGTGTCTTTTGTGTGAGTGTTTTGTTGATATAAACCTTACTTTTATTTTATATGTTGGGAAAATAAGTATACTGAAGTCTAATTGGAGACTTGCTAATTTTGTAATCCCAGGTCCACAGGGAAGTCATTCCTACACACACTGTGTATGCTCTCAACATTGAGAGGGTCATCATGAAACTCTGGCACCCAAACCACGAGGAGCTGCAGCAAGACAAGGTCCACCGCCAGCGCTTGGCAGCCAAGGAGGGGCTTTTGCTCTGCTGAATTAGGATTTGAGGGGTGAGACCCTCTGCAAATTCAGTGATTATTGAGAATCGAATGTTCTTTGGGTCCACATTTCAAGACTGAAGTGTGCAGTGTGAATAGGACCTTTCCTATGGAAACGTGACACTGAGTATGTATTGTGTGGCTACTGTGAAGCCATTCATATCAGTCCGACTTTAATAATCTGTGTGTGTGTGTTTGTGTGTGTGTGTGTGTTTCCAGTTACGGGAGTTGGCACTGATGGGATTCTGTGCCTGGAATGGAGATGTTCAGGCATCTGAGGCTTAGTGTCCCATGGTCTGCGTGTGAGGGAGATGACATCCTAGAACAAAGAAGCTATTATAACTTAGTCCCCATGATCAGCAGGACATCTGTGTGTTCAGTGACTTCACATATTCTGTATCTGGCAAGTCTAAAATTTCTGCCTTTCTCCTCAAGAGCTGTGCTCTTGAATTTTGGTTGAAATAAACCTACAGTGTTAAAAATTAGATAGCTCCTTTAGTGACCAGTTTAATTTTTAACCAATACAGGTAGCTCTCTAAAAAGTCAGTACAACTCCATAGAAAATATGACTTAGAGATGCTGTGCTATTAGACAAAATGAAGTCCTTTGTGTGCATTAGGAACCCAAATCAAAACAAACAACCCTCTTGGATTGAGATTAATTAACCTTATGTCTTCTCATAACTCAAGCTTCTTTGATAGAGTTACATCTGAAGACTTTGGCAGGTTCATTTATTAATTACTCCTATAGAATATGTTTTGTGAAGTCCATGTAAAAATATTGGATCTATACTTGGTAATTCCCCTATTCCCATGAAATATCATGTTTCTATCCTTTCAAATGATGAAGTGAAAATAATTTACATTTGACAGTGTTACTAATAACCGAGTTTGGTCTTTTTAGAGATGTTGCCTTTTACTCAAGAGATCGTGTTCGTGGATCTATTAGAATGTACAGATGGGTTTGTGTAGGTCTAAATAATATATGTATAGATATGTATATGTGGTCTAATATCTGGATCTGTGTATTTGATTTTGTACTTTAAATGTGATAAATAAACCTTTTGGGACAAAACAGCTTGTTTATTGAAGTAAACCTCTAAGGATACCGCCTTCTACAGAACTGTGAAAAGCCCTGCTTTATCTTAGCAGAGACTTCCCAAAAGAATGTACTAGATGAGATTTGTGATGTGTAGATTAAGACCAAAAACAGAGAATAAACAGCTTAGTTTCAGTTCTTGGCACAAGTCTGAAAAGCCCTTTACAGTTTTAGATGAGATAATATTCAACAATTTTTAGGGTTGGGGAGAATTTGAAGCACTATCTTAACTGAATGTAGTGGTTGTTTTGGACTATCCATCTGTCTGGGCCTTCGTGCTAAGTACGTGTTACATTTCCTGCGTTCCACAGATGGCAAGGCAGCCAGGAGCCTCATCTGTGCCCTGCTGCCCTTTGCAACGGCAGGTTCCACAGAAGTCCAAACAGGAAAACTCCTCTCTGGGACCTGGCCTGGATCCCCATAGTCACCTACTCTGGTGGGACCACAGGACACCAGAGGACTCCCTTTGCCTCATGTTTTGGGCCTACACTCTAAACTAAGATCTGCTTTCCATGCTGGTTTTCAAGAATCATTTTGTAAAGTTGGAGAGACGGGGTTGAGGGCAGAGCAGGACAGTAGAGTGATCCTTAGGAGGATTTTCCAAGAGAGCCCTTGAAAGAGATTTGAACACCTCTGCCCTTCTGAAGTCTGGCTCCAGTGCTAGCACCGTTGCCAACTGTGGGATCCTGAGTGAAATCATAGTGCTTACTGTCAAGCATCATTTAGAAAAACAGCCATCTCAATGAAGAAAAAAGCTGTTAGAAACCAAATACTTTCAGACTTAGAATAAAGCTTCCTATAGGAATTTCAGTAATTGTCTTTTAGCTGCAGGTATATGGTGCAAGACCAGGTTTAAGACCCACCTTACTTTATACCAGGCACCCCGCGCGCTGGCTCACATGCTTGCCTCCTGTATCACCCGTGGCTGTGATCGATCAAGCACAGGGTTCCTCAAACGCTTCTCCCCAGTGCCTGAAGTCATGGGGATGCTTCTCGAGGGATATCACCATGATTTTCTAAATGCTTACCCTGTTTCTGTAGCTAAATGCCTGTGTGCCATCATGTCTTTGACTTGTACCAGATGTAGAGTTAGGGTAAGGAAGCTTGGTTTTAGGGGTCAGACTTAGATGCTGTGGCCAACAGACTGGTTCAGCATTTAATTCTGACGGCTTGGAAAAGGAAAAATGTTGTCTGGATTATTCTCGGAAAGTAGACTACTACTTATTTAACTGACTCTATGGACGTGGTCCATTGTCAGGACTTTTACCAAAAGCGTACCATGAAAAGGGCATAGAGGTTCATCATGCTTTCAGTTTAAGGAAATTTATGAAAACAGGATACCAAGTGTTCTGTTCGTCGACTTGCTAGCATGTCACCACTGTGAAAATGAATATCCCTTTATGGAGTTCCTTCATGATATTTTGGTAATGTACCATACTTAAGAGCATCCAAAACATGACGGATTGAGAAGAAAGGTGTTGATGCCAGGTCTCCCCGCACCCTTTTAAAAGCCAGTTTAAAACTAAACATCATTTTTCTTGCCTTTGTCTTCAAGGACACCAACATTACTTACACTGCATCCCACGAACAGACACTTTTTTGATTCAAGGGTGTTAATACATTGGTACCAAACTGAAGGGAAAATTAAGTGTAAATGATAGTTTGAAATGTGACTTTTCACATTGTTAACAGGTAAATAAAACCACTATAGCCAATCGTCTTTATTATCAAAGTTTATTGTTGGGGTCAGTTCCTACCTACTGGGGAGTACAACTATATCTCAATATGTGCTATAGTAATTCTAGGGTAATAGCCATTCTGCAAAATAGTTGTACTGGGGCTCTGTTAGGCATAGATCATAATTAAGTCAGTGGAAGAACGAGCCCAGAAAAACCCTGACAGTAGAACCATTACTCTAGGAAAGTTCCAGTGCTATGCAACCTGTAAGGCATCACCTATCAGCGGATGATGAGACTCGAGGAGGCGTTGGGGAAAGGAAACAGGAGTTGAACCCATTTTCTATTCTTCTCTGCAACGTAACCGTGGCTCCAATGCAGGAACCCAAAACAAGGTCTTATAGAATCCTTTAAGCTCCCAAAGTAAGTAAAATAGGGCATAAAGAGGAAAGAGCCAGGAACCAGGACAGTGGAGGATAAATTAAGTGGAACTGGAGGGAATGGAAACTTCTGGAATGGCAAGTAGCTAGGTATAGATGCCATTTGAGATGACAAGGAATACAGTACAGGTAAAAGCAAATGGGAAAACAACTGATACATTGAAAATTTGATTCAGATACCAGAAATTGAGATTTCCCCTCTTGGAAGAAAACTGGTTTAAAAAAATGAGAAAGGTGAGTCACTAATAAATAGGAAAATGAGTACCTGAGTAGCAATAGGTGTTTCAAGATGCCAAGAACAGTATAATAGACAAATGAGCTGAGTCTATAGGAAGGAAAAGTGGTTATGGTAGCCTGTTATCCAGAGTTGACATTGGAATGACATTTCTAGCAATGGCTTTGTCTATGCGGTTCTGGCATATTTTTTGTAGCACAAATAACTCTGAAGGAATGTTTTTGTAACACTCGACTTATGTGGGAATGCAAATTACTATAGTGTAAAGATTCAAAGACTCCCACCCATTCCTGTAGGGTAGGAGGAGATTAGGAGTCTTGAAAAGCTGCAGCTAAAAGCCCAGGCCCTCTCACCACCCTTGTGATAGAAATATTAAAGAAATTAACAAAACAAGTATCAGATGAGTCAATGAGCCTTGTACCATGTAGACAGCAGATCATTTACGGTGACATCTCCTGCAGGCAGCCTGAGAAACAGAAGACTTTGTGTCTTAAATGCTGCCCTATCATTAAATATAATAATAATGAAAAATAGGGCCATTAAATGAGACCCTAAAAAAATCTAGCTGCCAACCAGATTGGGAAGATAAATAAAACAGCATAGTTTATTTTAACCTGTATCTTCCACACTAACCTAGTTTGTCTATAGAAAAGCCATCTGCTGGCACCCGGCCAGTGTGTCTGAACTTGGTTATCATTAGTGTCTCACTGTTCCAAAAGAGGAAATGTGCAAGGAGCAGGTGTGCATAAATGACACGTTTTGACAAAGCCTTCTCTGCAGTCATGACCTGTGTGGGGACAGGTTCTACCCTTGGAAGCATTTTTAAAGGCAGAAGAAAACATTTACTTGAGGTTTTCTGCACAGAAAGGATGCCAGTGGAGTTGGACCCACATAATGAGTCTCCTGTTGGTGCAGAACAAATGGTCTCTTCTCCAGGAAACACCTTTGTTCGTTCCTATTTACAGGTTTCTTCCGATGGACACATGGAGTAATCTCTAAAACAAGACAAGAAATGGGGCAGAAGCAGTTTCTTTCCTAAACATGTCTGATGAAATTAAGAGTCCTAGACTTTTCTGACACCTCATGGATGCCGGGCGGGGTTGGGTCGCGTCCCGGTCCCGGGATGGGAGCACAGGCTGCGATCCAGACTTGGGCTGTCGGAGCCCCACGGCCTCTTCCTGCTGTTCCCTGTACATCCACATTTCGAGGAATCTTCTTGAGGATTTTCCTCCCCAACTGTCTCAAACAAAGTTCCATTTGCTGGAAAACAGAGAGAACCTAAGTGTAAATTAACCCTTGGATTTTAGACATCGTATAATTTTAACAAACATAATTATATCATTAGATTTTCAAGTAGATGAGAAGAGGTAGTCTTATGCCCATATGTCTCCTAAACTCTCGCTCACTGAGAATCCCTATCTACTTATGTCACCGCCTCCGTCAGAAAAAGGCAGCTGCCCAGACAACTGTGGCAGTCGAGATGAGCAAAAGCTCACGGCTGACGTCAGACATAAGTGCCTAGGCTCAGAGTGGCAGCCTAGCTTCGTTATTTTCCCTTTCGTCTTCTGGCTGTTTTTGATCCAGTTCTTTGAGTGGCAAATAGCTTAGAAAATTAAAAATGCACAAAACTGTTATGTAACAAAGAGGGGAAAAAAAGGTACAATGAGAAAAGGATAAAAACAGCTATAGTTCAAAGTCTGATCCAACGGAGGCAGTACAGTGGTTAGCAGAAAAGGGAGGCTGGATTCATGGGGCAAAACAGGACGGGACACGAGAGGAAAAAAAGCAATTCGGGTGGTTTTGAATGTAATAGTAAGAACTTCCTGGCTCCGCTGTACTTCTAGGGACCCCAGAATGACAGCGGGTTCGGTGACATGAGCACACTGATTTGGGGCGGGGAAGGAGACGTAAGTCACTCCTCAACGTACACAGCCTGTGGGGGGGGGGGGGGGGGGAGAGAAGATTTCTTTTAGCACTTCACCCGGAGGAAAAAAGCAACCCGGATGGAAATAAATACCTAACTACACTTTAAAAGAAAGAAAAAAATGTCAGATGGTTTCAGGGCCTCTGTAAGAGAAGGAAAGTCCTCTGTACGTTAAAACACTGTGTCTGAAGGAACAAGCTAACTGACAGACAGGGAAACGAGGACGAAGGCAAAGTGAGCTGTTTGTTCCCTCTGTATGTTCCCTGCTGTACGTGGCCATTCTCCTTCAAGGTGTGCGTGTCGGGGTGCAGACTCAAGCCACTGGTGATGTTTCTTAGTCCCCCACTCCCCACTTCCTTTTAAAGCTGTGTCCCTTCTCTACTCAACTCTGAAAATTCCAGGCCTATCGTCCTTGGCCCTCAGACTTGATTCACTGTAATCCTAAATATGCACCCCGTTTTATTTTCTTTTTTTGGTGCAGATTCAATTAAAAAATATGTCTCTTCAGACATCTGAGGACTACAAGAAGATTATCGTAACTGCTGACTCCACGTGAAGGTCATTATGAGAATAAGATGATATTTTAAAACACTTGAAATCCTAGGGAAAAGCAAGCGTAAGCTATTACTTGTATTTCCCAGTGGGCTACTGCAGACCCCAGGATGGAGGCCGGAGGCCAAGAGGGCACTTGGGGCCCTCCAGGCCAGCAGAAGTGAGCACAGGTCCCCAGGGGGACCAGGTGCACACACTGGCCCCAGACGTTCAGACGATTCATAAGGGAAAGGGAGAAGTTGGCTTTTCAGACCAAATGTTGTTAACTCAGCAATGTCTGACTATGCTCCTCCAGGCTCAGGTAATCTGTTTCAGCACTACAGCTCCCAGATGAATGTTCTGGCAGCTGACCCCTTGTTCCTTTTATGTATGATAGCAGGGCTGCTGGGCCCAGGCTGCAGAGCAAAATACCCAGAGTAAGCCAAGCAACAAAAGTCTCATATAAAGGAGAAAGTGCCGACGGCCAGTTCTCTACAGCACTGCGCTGCAGGCTCAAAGAGTTCTCGGAAATAGAGGACAATAACGTCAAGAGCAAAGCGTCTGTGGAACACAAACACGTCCCTTAGTGAAGCACGAGTCCTCGCGCCTGCCTGCTTACCTGTGCTCTCCCTTCAGTTGCTCTCTGTCATGCTCTCAGTGTCACATTCTTTGGGTGGTTCCCCTCCTCCCGGCAGCTCGCTCTCAATTTCCCACAGGACATCATCTTCGTCTTCCAAGTTGCTGGAGATGTGGCACTTCTTGAACCCCTGGACAATGGATTCGCTGGAGATGCTGTTCCACGCGACCATGACCCACTCCAGGAAGAGACCAAGGGGTGGCTTCTTGGCATTCCCGGTTGGGCTCAGCGCCAGGTTCCCCGCCAGAAGCCAGTTGGAGTACTGGGCCCGCACGCTGTCATTCAGCGGTTTGTAGACCACCACATCCAGCACCTGAAGCTGCGAGGTCAGGCCCCCTGGGATGATGACCATGTCAGTGTTCATGCTCTCCATGGAGCTCTTCACGGAATCAGTGGCGTGGCCCCGGAAGCCATTCAAAATCAGCATCCCCCGCTGCTTGGGCACGGCGCCAGTCCTTCGTCTCCACACCACTTCTAACCAGTCCTGCATCAAGTCCTCGGTCATCCATCCATACCGGTGGCAGCGGATTTCCATCCCACTGGGGAACTTCCCGGGGGGGATGTATGTGCCCCTCAAAATGATGTATGGAGGTAACTTCCTGCCATCAGCCAAGACCCCAAGCATTGCTGTGATTTTCAGTTTCTCCCTGCCTGGCGTCTTGACCAAGACAGGCTTCTCACCCTGGTTGTCAACAGTCACCCTTGACGGCACCTCTAAACAAATGGGCGTCTCGTCTGCGTTTCCCATCTGAGCCACCTCATAGTCATGCGCCCTGCGTAGAGCCAGCACACTGCGCTGGTAGGTGACGAGCTTCTCAGTCAGGTCTTCAGGCAGTTGCTGGGGCACGGGCACTTTATGCCTCAGGGACAAGTCATACCTTCGCATCATTCTCCGACACCAACCCAAGCTCGCCTTGAAGCCTTTCTCTGGAATGTTCATCTCCTGGGCGATTTCGAGAGCTTTCAGCTGCATCGCCTCCCTGGTGATAGGGTCCCCTTTGGCCTGCATGTATCTGACATACTCAGCCACACGCTGGTCCACCAGAGCAAATCGCCCATTCTTGGGGCCTCGGAATGCCCGCCGCATGGCGTGGGCATTCTGGAGCTGCGGCTTCACTTTGCGCCAGTCTCGGACATTTTTTTCCAGCACTCCAAACTGCTTGGCAGCCTGGCAGTTATTGGTGCTCTCGGCATATTCCACCACCATCAGCTTGAAGCCCGCATCGTAACTGCGGCGCATGCCCCGGCTGAACTGAAACTTCCCAGCGATATCATCCGCTGAGAGGTCATACCCCGGGAAGCCCATGGCCATGTAGAAGGGGTACCCCTCACTCCACTCGGGCAGCTCTGTGATGTCCCGAGGCAGACGGAGGCCAAAGCCATCAAGGTGCTGAGGCTGAGCAAACGGGGAGGTGGTACTCAGCGGGCCTGCCCAGTCCGGAGGCTTCACGTCAGAGTCTTCATTTTCTGGGAGACAAACGGGGAAGGGCAAAGATAATGCCAGTAAGGAAAATGATTTCTGGCTTATTCCCTGATTTCTTTTGGTTGAAAAGTCAAGAATACCTTAATCTGAGGTTCACCAAAAGTAGTCACTTTAATAACAGCTAACATATCCTAAGTCCTTACCCGCTGCAAGTTCCCACGGGTGACACATCTACCTGTCACAGTGACTGTGTGCATTACTGCTCCTCTGCAGATGAGGCCAAAGAAGTTAAGTAAAGCATCAAGGAAGCTGAGCAAGAAAGTGGCAGAGCTGGGAACCGAACACAGGGGCCAAGCTGGATCGCATAATAATTTTGTGGGCCATGTGTAAGTCAAAATAATCTTTCTGTGGATGAGAAGCCAAATATAGCCCATACTACCGCGTAATATTCCAGAACTTGGATGCATCATCGGCTGAATCACACCCCTTAAACCAAGAAAATCTATAGCAAAATCACACTTCACAAAGTTAAGTCTATAAGGCAGAAAACTGGTTCTGGCACACCAATGCCAGAACTGCGTCTCACTGTATGTTTATATTGAGAAGGTGCTCACAGAAATCCCAGATGGTTAGAGGAAATGACCATTTCTCACCAAAACTAAGGTGCCGTCAGTTGCAAGATGCACCATTATGTGCCGCTGAGAAAAAAATGCCACTAATTAAACTATGACATGCCATCATTTTTAAGAGGCATTCTCCATTTCAGAGATGTTAAAGTGGTGGGAGGAAAATGCATCTCAGAATCAACAAAATACGGCATTTTAAACTCTCACCTAAAGAGAGAAGGCAAATAAAACCAATCTGGCTGTTCGGAAGCTGTATTTCTGCAACTGCCACCCTCCTGACTAGGTTTCTTCTTAAAGGACCACATGCTCCCTAGACATTTTTGCTCAAATGTGTACTACAGCTGTGATTGCTTTTTCTATCCAAGATGAAAGGACAGGAAGGCAGGACAGGAACGTGTGCTTTCTCACACTATTTTCCTTAGTTTTCAGAGGTGTGTGGTACGCTACTGAGGTGGCCTCAGTTAGGATTTGCACTGGACCAAATGCCACAGGAGCTTCAATTTGCTTCATCCACATACAAGGTTGCACACGGAGACTTATTACCCCCCAGCTGACAGAGGAAGAAAGGGAGGCTTGGAGAGGTGAATAAAGTTGCCTAAGGTTACACAGCACTGGAAAGAATTTGAAACTCCAAAGCCCATAATCTTTCTGCCTCGTAACCCCATCTTACTCTTCAATACCCCACAGAATGTATATGGAAACCTTATCCGGCTTCAGAATGCTCCGATTGGATGGAGGCTGGATTGGTGTGATCGTAGTACCTGCAAAGCTTCCTCCTTGGAGCTGCCATTCGTCAGGATTCTGAGACTCCTCCCCTTCCAAGCGCGTGATCATGTCTGGCTTAGGGAACGGGAATTCTGTTTACAAGAGATAAAACAGGTAACAGCTATGTTACGTCTTGGAGCACTGCCAAAAGAAGTACTTTATAATACTTAAGGAACACTCCTCTCGCCCCAGTCTTCTCAATATGGAGATTTATGAAAGACGGGGAAGAGGGCTCGGGATACCTAAAGAAAAAATACGATGGGAGATAGGTCTGTCCAAGGGGATTTATGGCTCTCTGCTAACGGGGCCGGCACGAGCAACAACAAAGAAGACCCGCGTTTAGCAGGGAAGTGCGTGAACACAGCCCCTGGTCTGATGAGTACTCTGGTGCCTGTGAGCAAACTGGGAAGTCCCTCCACACGGTTACAGTCTAACGATACGGACATCAGGGCCGGGCGGGGAGCAGGGACTCTTTGGGGCATGTCCCTGAGCTTCTGAGGCTGACAGGGTGACAATGAGGCCTGCCTTCCCTCCTAAGGAACATAGGAGGCACAGGCCCAGACCTGTGGGGACACTTCTTAGGTTATGTCTTATTTTTTCTGACATAAATGCCTGGGTTGAATGAGGACGGTTCTGAGAGCTGGCACAAGTCGCTGAGTAGAAGGACACAATATTTATATCCTGCCTAAATCAAAAACAGGAAATCCAGTGGGCACAGGCATCGAGGGGACAGAGTCCAAGTACAGGAGAGAGGGATGTTGGACACACCAGCGAAGAGAGACATGGAAACAGTTCTCTGGGCTCAAGGCTTCTAGGAGACAGAAGAAAACAAAGCTTTACCCAGGGACAGCACAGTTTCGTAATTCATCCTCATGACTTCCCGGTACAGGGCCTTTTGTTGCTCCGTCAAAACTTCCCACTCCTCATCGGAGAAATATATGGCCACCTCATCGAATAGGGCCGGCACCTGGAACAGCGAACAGGCCTTTCTCAACGACTGACAGGCACATGCAGACACAGATGCACACAGCTTCGTCTCACAGGGAGGGACCTGACCTGAGGGAGCCTGTCTGTCCGCACTCACAGCTGCCAGAGGCAAAACAAGGACACGAGCTCAGGCCCCCGTGCCCGCGGGGTGCACAGAGAAGCACCTTGAGGAGAAAGTCCCACTACCCACCACCAGGCCAGGAGACACGGGACATGGCACCCTCACACCCTGCAGCGAGAGCTGCCCATGGCCCACCGCCCACTCGAGAACCTGGGACCAGCCACGCTCAGGGAAACACCACCAACACAACATGCTCATCCCCACCCCGCTCCCTCCCTCCCTCCCTCAGACCTCACCCTGGGGGGGTTCCTGCGCACTGTTCTCTGCTCCCAGGGGCACCAGCCCCAGCGTTTGACTCAGAACCCAAAGCCGCCCAGGGAGAAGCCAGCGAGAGAAGAGGCCCGTCTGGCCTTTCCCAATCCACAAGAGCATGAGCAGGAGGGAGAGGGGCTACTGAGAGCTGAAATTTATGGAGATACCAGAGCAAACTGCTCTGCTTTGATGCCTCCTGGGGCAGGAAGCCCTAGAAAGCCCTAGGGCCAGAGGAGTGGGCCCTGCCACGCTCCCCCCACTGCCCCGCCCACTGGGGGCATGGTGACAGGCAGCCAAGTCACCCAACCAACCACTTCTTGTTTATTCAACTATCTGCTTTTCCTTTTACTGTGCTTTTTCTTTCGGTCATTAAAAATCCTACTCCACAGCTCCTGTGCTCAGTGGGAAGAAATCGCTGGGCCTGTGTACCTGGCTGGTCACTTTGAGTTATGGCTGTCAAAGCCCCTCCCCAAGGCTGAATCTAGGGCCCAGGTGATTATGACCATGTTTGCCATCAGCTTGGAAAATTAGTGTCTGCACAGCCTGCAGCCTCTTAGGTGTCCGGCCCTCAACCACTGAGCCAGACCGGCCTTTCCTCCTCATTCCCGAAGTCCACCTACCTCACCCCCACCCTCACAGCACCTTACACACAGTGAGCGCTTCCTGGGAAAGGCCCTGTAACTGCTTCACTGATTCCCCCAACAACCCCATTTAATGAAGGAGGGAACAGCCTCAGAGAGGCCTATTTCTAGTCCAAAGTCACAAAGCTGATAAATGGCAGGGTGGAGATTTGGACCTAGCGCTGTCTGAGTTCAAGGCTCCAGCCCTTAGAGAGTAAAGCGCCTCCCTGGTGCCCAGCCCTCCACTCTGCCCACCTCCGAGCCCAGCTGCACTCAACTGCTTGCAGTTCCCTGAGCACACCGTCTGGCCCTCCTCATCTCAGCACAGGGTTCTCTCACTGCTGGGAGGCCCACCCACCTTCTAAGACTCAGCCCACACGCCTGCTCCCCGGAAGCCCGCCCCACCCCTGGATGTGTGCCCACTGACACATCCCGTGCTGCCCTGGGCTCAACATTATGGTGGCACTTATCATACGGCAGTGTGATCTCAGTTTACCTATCTGCTTACACACCAGAATACGTGCTCATTGAGGGCAGAACCCGTGCTTGTTCCGTTTCCTTAAGTTTAGAACACTTCCTGTAGATAGTAACCACTTAGTTGTTTTTGAATAAAAGATTTAAGCAAATAATCTCTGGATTTCCTTTCTCTTGTTCCACTTGGAATCATTTCAAATAATCATGAAATTTCATCTGTCACAAAACCGAGTCTCCTCTTTGCAGTAAGAATGGACAAAACTCCCTGAGTGAAATACCAGGAGGGACAAACAGACTGCACCAGGCTGGCCTCAGGCTTCTGCATTGATCTGGAGAGCCCGTCAGCCAGGAACTTTCCGCCACACCCCGTCCCCCTTCCCAGACTTTTAAACAGCTCTCCCTTTGGCCTTCTCTCTCCCTAGGAAATTCCAGATCTAGGCCATATCTATGTATAGTCCCTTTTCCTTTGCTGATAAAATGGGCCACAGGACTGGCTCTGCCTCTCATTTCAGAGGGGCCATCGATATTTGTAGAGGGTGACGCGTCCCAGGCCTGGTAAAAATGTTGGGAGCCTTGAAGTTGTGAGAAAGCAGCTGGAGGCTGCTGCCGGATTTGTTTCCAGCTACTAATGCCCAAGCCACGGGGGATCTTCCAACAAGCCCACATGATGCTCCAGAGGTGCACGGGGCAGTGGCTCAGACACCCTCCTCGCAGCCACCCTCTGAGAGCCGGGCAAGTCTTTGGCCAGGCCCTGCTGTGCGGCCTGCCCTCTCACCGCGGCCTTCCATCCGGCCGGGCACAGCAGAAGGCAAACTGGGCCAGCCTGGGCAAACCTCAAGTCAGGCAGCCGGTGTGCATCCCCCAGACACCCTTTCTTGGCCTCGCAGGTGGGGGTCCTCGGTCTCCGTGCTCCCCTTCCCTCAGCGATCAGGGCCTCAGCGGCCAGGTGGTCCTCCCTCAGCTGTGCACACGGCCGGCCTACCCACGCCCGCCTCTGGGACCAGGCAGTACTCATACAGCGCACAGCCTCAGCTGCCGAGCTGCACGCCACCCAGCGAGGATGCCAGGGACCTGGGGGCGGAGCGCCTGCTGCATGCCAGGCACGGTGTGGGGCAGTCCCACTCTTAGAGGTGAGGAAACAGAGCGGTTAAGTAAGGTGACCATGGTCAGAGTTAGGAAGTCTGACTCCAGATCCCGTGCGTCCTCAGTGGGCCACGGAGGCCTCAGCTGAACCCAGGCTTCCCTCAGAAAGACAGCCGAGGACTTTCCCTCGAGTCACCAAGGAGGGAGCTCAGGCTCCTCGGCCCAGCACCCTTCACCCTCAGGCTGGCCCCGGCCTGGCCTGTCCCACTTCTCGGCCTTCTCCCCTCCCACCCCTCCCACTCCGACAAGCCCTTCGGATGCCAGCTCCACCCGGGAGCTGCTCCTACTCTGCACACAAGCTTTCCTCTCTGGGGCTTTTGCTCAAGCCTTCCTTGTGCCTGCAGCGCAAGCACCCTCCCCTCCCTGGGCCGGGTCCACTCATGACAAAGACTCAGTTCAAAGAACATTTTTCCTTTTCTCTACTTGAAATTGTATTTCTACTCCAACTCTCCTATGGAATATTATCTTAATAGCGAGCACAGTTCTTAACTTTGAAAGGCCTAACATAATTCCCCACAACGAAAATACATATTTAAGAATCAGATTCACTTCTCTTCTTCCCCTAGTCTAATGCTGGAGGCTTCTCAGCCTCAGCGTCACTGACACTGTGGGCCGGGTAAGCCTTCGTTGTGGGGGCTGTCCTGGGTGCTGCAGACGTTCAGCAGCCTCCCCAGCCCCTACCCAGGAGATGCCAGGAGGATCTCCCAGCCTCCAACGCCCCCCAAGTCATGACAACCAAAAAATGTCTCCAGATATTGCCAAATGTCCCAAGGCGGGGCTGGGGGCCAAGCTGCCCACTACTCAAGGCCAGGTCTGTGCTCACCTGCTCTGGGTGGCCTCTCGGGCTCTCCAGCCCAAGCTGGAGTCCAGCCCCCTCCTGAACTGACTCCCCCTGCAGCCCAAATGCTGCCCTATTAATTATGTTGACCTCCCTGTCTTCCTCAGAGACTAGTGCCTCCACGAGCCTGGGATCTCATCTTAGTAACACCCAGCGCTGTGCTCAGCAACTGCGGATGGATGCCGGACTGCCCAGGGGCAGTCTTCACTGTGCTCTTTTCTCACTGTCTCAGCACACGCAGAGGTCCAATCACTGCACCCATTCTCCAAGGTTCTCCACTCTATCTGGATCTTCTCGGTTGGCCAAGTTAGCCTCAAAGCCCAGGGTTTCTACTGGCTTGAGGTCTTGCTCGGTGCTAGACTGCACTGACTTCTGCCCCTCCAGGTCTCCCCAGCTGCGAGGGTCAGAACCAGGGAGGAGGATGGGGTGGGCAAGGAACAGAGAACACCAAAGTGACAAAGGCAGAGCAGCCTACAGCCAGATGGCGAGCCCAGAGCCCGGTACTGCGGTGTTTTTTACTATTATTTTTTATTGAGGTATAACATGCATAACACAAAAATGCACTACTTTTAAGGGTCCAGCTCAGGAGGAGTTTTTAAGAATAAACATCAGTGTACACGTGTATCCTCTCTGTACCCCAGTTCCCTCCTGTGGAGAGGAGCTGGACGGGATCACTGGGAAGCACCGCGATCCTACGAACACAGATCTCACTGGAAGCAAAGGATGTTATGTATACTGATAATGTTCACACACGGGGGAAACTAAGCAGAGAAAAGGAATGTCAACTTGTGGCTTATTTAAAACGTTTACCATTCATGCCCAATTTTCATGAAGCCCAGTAACTACTGTAATTAGACATAATCATAACTGTAAATATTATTGCATTTACACGTTCCTAAGTTTACTCTAATTCTCTCACAGTGTCGTTTGGATATGCTCCATTCTCCCCGCCGCCTACCATCCCAACCCCTCAGCCCAGGCCAGCTGGAAATGCAGCTCTGCTGTGGGAACTCTTGTGAGCGGTGTTCCCACAGAACCCACGGCTTCGCGTCACAAAGCTCTCCTCGTGTCAGTTCAACGCCCCATGTCCTCTTTAGAATGATTCCCCTCAACTAGCAACAGGTGACGAAGACTCCTCGCCCAAACCTCAGTGAGGCTCCTCTGAGCCCACTTCTCCACCAGGCCTCCATCTTGGCTCCCCGCCTGTCCTCAGCCTGCCCAGCCCCGTTTTGGCAAGAATCTTGCTAAGTCAGTTTAGAAAAAGTCCCCCACCCTGATGTCTGCCTGCAGTAAGAATCCTGTTAAGTCCGTTTAGCAAGGATCCCCCTACCCCTGATGTCTACTCTTAGTAATTTTCCATCCACTGACCCGTCCACTCTACTCCTGGGTATCAATCCCCTCTCGTCTGTACTGTCTTCAGTGTTGAGCCCCATCTCTCTCCCCGACTGCGACAGTCTTGACAGCTATCTCAATAGTCCTGAAGACAGTCGTCCTTACCATCTTAACAACTGTTAAAACAATTTTTTCCTTAACACAGGACAGCCAACGTTAAGTTGGTGTCGACGACGTGCCTGGCATTGAGCAGGGTGTAGGGGCACGAGTGGTTCAGGAGAGAGACGCAACCTTGGCCTCCTGGACTCCCAAACCTGACGATGATGAGCTTCATGGCTCAAGGGGCTGCTCCAGTGACCTGCTCCGCCATTCCTCAGAGTGCCTTTTAAAGCCACAGGACTGTTTTCTCAGGAATGCAAACACACCAGGCTGGGCTGGGCTATTTTTACTTCCTCTGTCTGCCTGAGGAGGAAACTTAAAACAAGCCAGGCTCCCAGGCCTGCTCATCACAGCCGTGTGCGGACCCCACACCTTCTTACTTACCCATCCGCCCTCTGAGCAGATTCGCACTTTCTGCATATCTGTGGGACCATCCTCCAGTTTCCGGCTCTGAATCTCTTCTTCCTCTTCCTCCACCTTCAGGGTCAAATTGAGAGGGTAAGCTGTGGACTCCATCTCTGCAAGCAAGATTCAGTTCAGAAAAGTCAGGCACTGGTATGAATGCTTCAAGCTTCAAAGCCTGGGGTGTCGGAGTGGCTCAGGCTACACAAACCTCTTTAGCCCCGTTGGGCCTGAAGGAAGGGAAGGAGCAGAGTCAGACCCTGGAGGAAGGGCTTCAGGGTAAGCACCAGGAAGCTAGAAGGTGACATATTTAAATATGATAAGAAGGGCCAGCATACCTGGCTGCCTTCAAATATTTAAAAACCTATCTGTGGAAGAGAGACCAGACTGGTTCTATAGACACCCAAGGGCAGAACAGGACGGTGGGGAAACATTCCCGAAGAGGTTTAAAGAGTGCGCTGAAAGGTCAAACTTTCTCACAGCCAGCGCCACCCAAACATGTTAGCAGCAGCAGGAGAGGGGTGTTGGCCTCCTATCAATGAAGGCATCTGAACACAGAGAGGACACCTCCTCAACTGGGTTGTTCCTACAGGCCAATTAAGCATCAGGAGGTTGGCTGGCCCAGGATACCCATCACCTGGATTTTCCAGATTCAAAGGTTCTGTCCCTGAGCTGTTTCAGAATAGACTCGTTCTGCCTTAAGCGACTTTTCAAGCCTGGCAGTCAGCGACACACGGTGAGGGGTAATGCCTGGGGACCCAAGATGGTGCAGAAATCTGCTGGGGCCAGGCCTTGGGGCGCACCCCCAGTGGGAAATGACTGGTCGCCTCTGGGCCGAAGAAAATTCTCTCCTGCTGAGCTCGTAGGCCAGCACGTACAAAGGGCCTCGCTCCTGTCCTCTAGGGACGCGGGCAATTCCCAGGTGGACTGAGGGTGCATCCTGCGGGCCGCGTCCTCCCGGGCTTCCAAAGAAAAGCTCCCTCCCGAGTCCAAAGTCGGCTTGCTATTTCCAACAACGACAGGCGACCGCGGCAGGGATGGGTCTGGGGAGGGCGGAACAGCTTCAGATCCCGGGAGCTGGGGCCGGAACTTGGCTAGGGCCTCCCCGCCGGCTCCGGGGCAGGAGGTGACGGGCGGCGCGGGGGCCGCCGGCGGCGAGGTGCCCGCGGCCAGGGCCGCCGCCGCCCACCCGCCCGCTCCCCGCGCCCCGCCCGCGCAGCCGCCGCGCCCCGGGCGCGCTCCGATGCTCCAGCCATCTTGTCCCAGTTCCCTTTCTCCGCGGCCCCGCGCCGGAGCGCTGCCGCCGCCCCCGCCCCCGCCTCCGGCCGGCCCGCCTCCCCGGCCGGCCCGCTCCCGGCCCGGCGCACCTGCCGAGCGCGGCAGCCGGCGCCGCCTGCCTCCCCGGCCGGCCCGCAACAAAGGCGGCGGCGGCGCTGGCAGCTGCAGGCTCGGCGCCCCCGCCCCGCCGCGGCCGAGCCGCCCCGGGCCCGCGGGAGGGGCCCGCCCGCGCGCACTCACCGCCGGGCCGAGCGGCCGGCGCGGGCCGGGCCGCGGGGGGGGGACGCGAGGGCTCCGGCCCGGCTGTCACAGCGCCATCCCCGCCGCCTCTCCGGCTACCCGTGCGCGCGGCCCCTCGGGAGGGAGCGGCGAGGACACGTGGTGGGAGGAGGGAGGGTCCGGCCGGAGCTGAGGGTGTTGGGAGGCGAGGGGAGGAGCGCGGCTGATGTCAGCAGGCCTCGGCGGCGCCCGGGGACGCCGGCCGCGCCTCCTCCCGGCGCCGCTTCCGGCCGGGCCCCGCGGCGCGCTCCTCCCGGCGGAGCTCCCGGCCCTCGGCGCTGGCCGCGCGGGCGAGCTCTCTGCGCGCTCCGCTCCCCGCCGGTGCTGTCCGCTGCCGAGGCGCTGTGTGCGACCTCGGCGGGCAGGGGGCAGGAAGAGCCCGGATTTCTTTTTTAGCTGAGTGTAACCTGGGCGCGCACATCCGTGTGCTCTTTTGCATTCGCCAGTGGTTTGCACTTGCTTGGAGGAGCGCTCAAGGCACTCTCGCCCTGCTTCAAGGAACGCGTTATGAAGAGGAGACCAGCAAGGCGGCGCGGCGGGGTGAGGAGGGGTCCCGGATCATGGAAGCATGCTCATATTCTGGCAGGCATATGCCCAGAACTTCGTTCGCAGCATACATGGAGAAGGAACTTCCTGATTTTTGTAGTTGTTGCCTGTTAAATCCCAAGATGGACTCTCGTGGACGAAGTAAGTGTATAGAAGGCTCTTATCTAAATGTTCAAAGGAGTTGTTCGCGTGCAGCTCTGTGGACAATACAGCAAAAATGAGGCGAGAAGCCCTGAAGCCCTTCTCATTCCGGAGCAAGACTCGGGGGTTGGTTTTTTGTTGGGAACCTGTTAAAGAAAAAATTATTCTGACACTTGTTAGAACGGTAAAGAGGACTTTTATGAAGATTGTTAAGATACCCGTCAAGACTATGGCTGTAGGGGAGAGAGAAGCCACTCAACTCAGAATACGGCAAAGTCATGTTGGGGAATTACAGCCCGGGAACAGAGTGGAGGGGTCCGCGGATGGAAAATTACTGAGAGGAGACATCAGGGGGAGGGGAATTCTTGCTAAACTCATTTCGCAGGATTCTAACTGGCCGGGCAGGCCAAGGTATCAGATATCAGAGTGGGGGATTCTGTGTGATCTGATTTCTCAGGATTCTTGCTACAACTGGGCCCCGAAGGCTGAGGACAGGAGGAGGAGTGTGTGCCCAAGTCAGAGGCTCGGTGGAGAAGGGGGCTCAGAGGACCCTGACTAAAGTTTGGTCAAGGAGAGAGTTTGTCAGACTTTTCAGACTGACCCTGAGGCCTGAGTACCTGCTGAGAAAGATCTCCAAATTTTTGTGGCCACTTCTGTTTATTTGTATGTGAGTCTTACTTCTCTCTGCCAGAGGAGAGGCTACTGTGGAGCCGTGGAGCTCTTGACACATAAAATATAGTATGACAATCACATCTTTGAAGTGTAATTATGTCAGACAACCCAAGAGCAGACAAGGTCTGATCGATGGATGGAGATTATTCAAATATTGGGAGAGAGGAGAATGTTAGAATTTTTTGTTTCTTTTAATAAACCGTTCTTTTTCTAATTTAGCATTTTTAGAGCAGGAGTGACATTTTAGCTCAAATTGGTTCATATTCCCATCTTAACTTTTCTGAGGAAACGGCTGGTTGAGATGGGAAAGCGAGGAGGGTGTCAGGAACAGAACAGTACTAGGGGCATTGTTGGCATCTCACCTTCTTACGAAAAAGATATTAATACAGGTTATGAGATAACCAAAGAGGACTACTATGTTAGGGTTTTAGACCCTGCGAGCCCTAATCTTCTCATGCAGCTTTGATTAGGTTTTCCTTGGGAAGAGGCCAGCCAACAGTGGCCCACCTGAATTCTTGACTTTGAACTCTCAGCCCCATGCTCTCAATTATTGTCATGGGACCCACCTTTGGGCAAGTCCATAATTGCTAACTAGACTTACTCTAGGAGCAGGGTGCTGGGGTAGGCACAGTGCACTGGAGACGTTCATGTTTAGGTGGCTTTGTAAGTTGGGTCACTTGTCTCTGCCTGGGTTTCCTCATCTTCAGAAAGAGGGAGTTAAACCAGATATTTTCCACATTTCCCCTCAGGTCTATCATTCCGTGATTCCATTCTCCATGAGACTTCATCTTGGTCTGAATGGGGAGTGACGGAAGCTAGTCTTTGGGACAGAGCATGGTTTTGGTAATTTGGTAAGATGAATTTCTGTTAGTAGATGGTTAATAAATATGAGCAGAACACCTATGAAATCAATATATAATTCTTTAATAATGCTATTGGTCTGAATTCATCTTTTCTCCTATTGCATTTTGCAATACACAAGCCATAGGGATTCTAAAGAGTCTAAATCCCACAAAATATGCATTTTGAACTTTAGTGTCTCCTGGTGAATACGTATTTCTGACCTTCAGCAGAGGCCCCACTGCCCTCAGGTCAGCATAGCTACTGGCTCCCGTGGCTCCAGTCCTCAAGGACTATGGTGGGTTGAATGTATAGTCTTGATTCTTTGCGTCCCTGTGGTAGTGTTACACAGCACATCCTGCTAAGTTCTTACACATGCAGAATGTACTTCAACGTCCTTTCACTTGGGCTGGCCATGTGACATGCTTTGGCCAGTGGAATGTGGGTAGAAGTGGCTGTGTGCTGATCCTGAGCCTAGGTCATGAAAGGTCTCACATGTTTCTGGATGCACCTCTGGGAGCTTCTGTCCTCTGCCATGACAACAACATGCCTAGGTTGTCACTGCTCCTCCAGCCTGGCCTCCAGAATGAGACCTGTGTTACACAGCCATCCTGACCAACACAAAGACCGATGAGCGTGAGAGGAGATCACTGTTTTGTTTTAAGCTATTGGGTACTGAGTTGGCTTGTTATATAGCATTTTTGTGGCTATAGCTAATTGAGACAGTGGTCAGAGGCAACCTTCGACTTAGGGCTCCCAACATTGGGCCTCATGGGGATGCTCTGAGGCAGCAGAAGGGAGAATTGCCCCTTTCATGGTGAAAATCCTTGACTACGTGGACAAGGAAATCCTAGATTAAGAGAAGGGGAGGGCATGTCACTGCTGACTGTATCTTTTTCTTCCCTGGGATTCTGGCACTTCAGAGGAAGATCAAGATATGATCCCAACCGTAGATATTTCTCAGTAAAGCCTCAAGATATTCCTGGGGGGTCTTGATTAAATAGTAAGGGAAACCCTGCTCTGGACAGTTCTTGGAAGGGCTTAGAAGGTTCCTAGAGAGGAAGCACATGGTGGTTAGAGCACCTGAGAGGGCTAAGGCACACTTAGATGTTTGTCTAGAAGAAGAGGAAAGAGAATTGTAACAGTGTAATACTAGCTACTGCAAAAAACAGACCCACAAATGTATAAAGGCTGGAACACAACAGAAATTTATTTTTCATTTATGTAACGGTCCTTAGTGGGTGTTGCTGGTCCACGGGTGACTCTCCTCCGTGCTGTGATGTGGGGGCTCAGGCTTCTTCTGTCTTGTGGCTCTGCCATACTCTCGGGCCTTGTAGTTTTCTTCATCCACTAGAGTGAAGGGGAAAGAGGGAACGGAGACATCACACCCTTTTCTTGGCCCTGAAGTGACGCACATCTCTTTCGCTCACGTTCCATTGGTTAGGATCAGTTACCTGGCCACATTCATATGAGAAGGGGCTGAGAAATGTAGAGCGTGTCTGGGCAGTTACTTTACAGAGACCGCTCCACACATTGAAAAGGGAGCCTGGATTTTTGTCTCTGCCACAAAAAGAAAAGGGATATTTTTCTTTCAACAGTTTAAATATTTCACTCTACTCTTCTTGCTTGCAAGGTTTCTAAAGAGAAGTGCAATGGACTTCTTATCTTTGTTTCTCTATAGGAAAGGTGGTTTTTTTCTCTGGCTTCTTTCAAGATTTTTCTTTCTGTTTTTGATCTTCTGCGGTTATATGATATTCCTAGGTGTAGATTTTTTGGTATTTTCCTGCTTGGTATTCTCTGAGCTTCCTGGTCTGTGGTTTGGAGTCAGTCATTAATTTTGGGAAATTCTCAGCTATTAATACTTCACATATTTCTTCTGTTCCTTTCTCTCTCTTTTCCTTCTGGTATTTCCGTTATGTGTGTGTTATACCTTTTGTAATTTTTCCAGTAGTCCTGGGGTTTTTTCCTGTTTGCTTTGCCATTTGGGAAGTTTCTATTGACATATCTTCAAGCTCATTGATCTTTCTTTGGCTGTGTCCGATCTACTGATGAGCCCATCAAAAACATTCTTCATTTCTCTTGCAGTGTTTTTGATTTCTAGAATTTCCTTTTGGTTCTTTCTTAGAGTTTCCATCTTTCTGCTGATTTTCCCATCTTTTCTTGCATGATGTACACTTTTTTGTTAGAGCTTCTAGCATATTAATCATAGTTATTTTAAATTCCCAGTTTGATAATTCCCATATCTCTGCCATGTCTGGATCTAGTGCTAATGCTTACTTTGCTTTTCAAACTGTGTTTTGTGCCTTTTAGCATGCCCTGTATGTTGAATATATGTATCATGTTGCATGTATGTATGAATTTATGTAGCATGTTGAAAGCAAGGCTGTATTTACTGTTTGCTGTAGCTGTAGGTATCAAAGGCTAAAATTTCCTCCAGTGTCTGTTTTTGTCTCCCCTGTTGTCTTTAGATTTCCCCAGAGACTCTTGCTTAAGTAAAGTCTGACGCTTACAATTCTTTTAGCTGTAAGCCCTGTTTCTGTACAAGAGCCCCATTGCTATGTTGGTAAACTGCTGCGGGAGGAGAAGCGTTCTGTGGTCTGTGATTAGGTCTCAGTGTTTTCATGAGCCTGTGTCCCGGGCTAGGACCTTCACAAGTGCTTCTCAGCTTCCTCCTTCTTTGCCCGTGAGTGAGACAGGAAGAAGGAGCTGGTTTGGGATGTTTCCCTTCCCCCAGGGCATTTAGGCTCTGGTAAACCCCAAGTTGATTAGGCTCTGGTAAAACAGTTGCCCTTGAAGGCTAAGGCCTTTGTTAAGGAGAACATAGCACTCTGGGCTTATTTTTAAATGGTTAATTTCCTTCTTCTCCTTGCAGGGTGTATCAGGAGATTTTTGTCCTGTATTCACCCTGAGAACCTGGTGGAGCTACTGGAGATAAAACTTAGGAAAGTCTGGGGGCCTCCGGGACTGTTTCGCTCCTCAGCTACTCTAGGCTGAATCTCCAGTAATTAGGCGCTTGTCCTTTATGTGTTCCTCCCAGGCTCCAGATGCAGCTTCTGATTCTCTGTATTTGCCTGTCTCTCTAGTTTTTGGAGTGTCACTTTGTCCTGTAACCTCAATTCCCTGATGTATCCAAGACTTGTTGATTTTCAGTTTGTTCAGCTTTTTTTCTTTTTGTGAGGATGGGAGTGATGACTTCCAAGCTCTTTATATGTCAAACCAGCCAGGGAAGTTACTTAAACAGAGTTGGAGATAAGGCTACAGCAACTCTCCCACTTTGCCTTTCTGCTCAGGGCTGGCCCAGGTCAAGAGCTCGTTTTCTTTTACACCAGTGGTGGTGAGCTCAGTACAGCCCATTCATACTGGTTCTTCTAATCTCTTAGCTTATACATTATGTCTACAACCCTCTCCAACTCTTTTCTAAAATATTCATTTATTGCTCCTAGTCTCAGCCTCTGAGATGACACAAAATGAATCTAACATAACAGGCTTGTTAATATTTAAAAAATTCTGTTCTAACCCTTCAAGTCTCCTCTGAATATCCCTATTTTCTTCAATAGTTCCTCATAGGGCATGGTTTCAAGTTTTTGTCCATTGAGATTACTTATGATCAATTGTATTTCAGGGTTTTCCTAAGATCTTAGTAATACTATAATCCTCAAAGTAACTTTCCCACATATACTTTTGCACTTTTTTTTGCACTTTTTTCCTTCTTTTTTTTTTTCCAAGGAAGATTAGCCCTGAGCTAACATCTGCCAATCCTCCTCTTTTTTCTGAGGAAGACTGGCCCTGAGCTAGCATCCATGCCCATCTTCCTCTACTTTATATGTGGGACACCTACCACAGTATGGCTTTTCACATGGTGCCACGTCTACACCTGGGATCTGAACCGGCGAACCCTGGGCCACCGAAGCAGAATGTGTGCACTTAACAGCTATGCCACCAGGCTGGCCCCCCACATGTATTTTTGTATGTATTTATTCCTCTCTTCTTTCCATAGACAGAGGAGCCTCTTTACTGGGAAGGAAAAAGCAAACTAGTTCTTCAGCAGAAAACAAAGTTTTCTCTAGCAGTGGATCCTAGATGAAATTTCTCATGTAGCTTATATAAGGAACACTGAATGATATAATTAAGAATGTCCTCAACAACATTGTTTTAGAAAATGTAGTTTCAGGGTGATGTCAGCATCATGGCAGACTGAGTTCTTCCCTTAGACTCTGCCCCCTAAGATACAATGAAAAGGACGTTCATAAACCAACAGGGGACATTCACACAACACAATAGAGCTGGAGAGCCACACAGCCATCTGTCTGAAGATGGAGGTGCTGGACCCCTGGGAGGAAGTGGAAGGAGGTAAGGGGATCTCCTCTCCCTCCCTGGCAGCAACTTAGGGCACAGGGCCACGTGCATCTCTGAAAGGAGAGAGGCAGCTCTCTGTGGAATACCTTCACTCTCCAGGTTGCCTCCTACCTGTGGGAAAGCTCCACACAGAGGAGGCAAAGCAATTGCAGAGGTGTCTTCATCAAGCCAGCACCTCAGGAGGGCAGAAAGCGAGGGCAAACTGAGAACACCCCGGGATCGTGTGCTTGAAGGAAAGCGCCCCTCCTGCTGCCCGGTGCACCAGCTCCACCAGTGGGCCAGAGCAAGGGAATCCCACCAGAGCACATGCGCATATGTTTGTAAAGCAGCACCTGTGAGCGAGCAATCGCAGACAGGCCCTATCAGCATAGATTCCAAAGGTCAGGCAGAGATACAAGGAATTACAGGGGGCTCAGAAACACAGCTCCTTCCCCCCTTCCCCCAGTGGCAGCAGGTGGAATCTGTGACTAGGTACTACCAATGTGCAAAGGCACAAATCCACTGCATCAAATAGTAAGAGGTACATTAATACACAGACCAGAAGGAAAATGACAAGCACCCAGAAATCAGTCCTGAAGGCTCAAAATTTATAATCTAAATGACAGAGCATTCAAAATAGCTATCATAAAAAAATTCAATGAGTTACAAGAAAACTCAGACAGTCCAATGAACTTAGGAATAAAATTGATGAAGAGGGAATCCTTCACAAAGGAGATTGAAACCATAAAAAAAAAAAAAA